AGTTCTTTTCCTCGTAAAACAAACGCGAGTGCTTCCCATCTCGCACCTCGAAATACACCTTATTCGCGGCCATCGTTGACGCGCCGTCGTTCGAACATAGTTGATCGTTGACGACGCATCGTGTGGCTACCGTTGCGTCGCATTATTATTATTATTATTATTATTATTATTATTATTGTTATAATTATTACGATCATTATTGCTATATAGTTATTTAGCAACAACGATCCCGCCATACCAATCGCAACCACAATCCTCTCTCGTCGCCGTCGTCGTGAAATTAAAGAAAGAGAAAGAAAAGTCCCAACCGCGCGTCACGATTCGTTCATAACTAATTGTGTGTAATACGTGCATGTATGAAACTTTGAAACTTTTAGTATACGCGATATACGCTTTACGTGTACAAACGCTGCATAAGACTCGTGCTATTAACACGTTATAACTGGGACCGGAATACGAAAAGTGCTTAGTAATCGAAAACGTTGCTTCAACAGCGCTGCAATTGCGTGTCATTTCGATTGGATACGTCGAGAGGTACGATCGAAAAGGACCGCGGAGAGTGCGAGATGAAATCTCTTTCACGGCGCGAGTCTACTTAAATCAACGCATTTGCTCCCGAAAGATATTCTCTTTTCGAACTACTAATTATCCCTCTGTCGTCACATATTTTGAATTACAAACGCAGTTTCCACTTCTTATTTGAGCTTATGCATTGATATAAATGACTCCCGAGTTTTAAATTAGCGATTTCGCGACCGGGCGTCTTCGCAATTTTTACAGCATACGATTACAGTCGCCGGAATTTCCCATTTCGCGAGAAAACCGCAATTGGTGCGCCGTGTTGGAGTAACGCCTTTTCAAAATACAACGTACCGCTGCCGATCACGCGATTAGAAATCACCGTGATGACGGAAACAGACAAGGAGCAGGGGAGGAGACGACGACGACAGGAAGACGCGAAGAGTGAAAGTCTCTCTGACGCGAAGAGAGGGGGGATAAAGATGCGGGGTAAACCTCTCTTGTCAGTCGGTCGATCGGCCGGTCCGTTGTAGAAAAGAAAATTTCTAGCACTTGAAGCTACACGAGGAAGCGTCGCGAGAGAGCCGGTGGCTCACGTCGAGAGG